GGTGATGGCCATTTTGACTGGAGTGAGGTGATAACCTCACTGTAGCTTGGATTTGCATTTCTCTATTAGTGATGTTGAGCATCCTTTCACGTGCTTGTTAGTCATCTGTGTGTCTTTGGAGAAACGTCTAATTAGGTCTTCTGCCCATGTTTTAACTGGGTTGTCTGCTTTAAATTCGGGGGTAGAAGAGTAGAAATACCCTCCCCCTCCGCCAGCCTGCTCCACACACAAACTCTAATTTTGCAGAGCCTCAAAGATCTTGGAATGGAAAGCAAAAATTTCCCCAGGTGGGCTGCTGAAGGGGGCCACCTCCCTTCCACCCCTCAGCTCCCAAACCCATGTATTCTAGTTATTGGGCCCCCAGCAACCAGTAACAGCTGAGGGTTGAAAATGTATACAGTTTCCTAGAGAACAGTGCTCCAACACAGCACGTCTTTCCCAAGCTGGTGCCTTAACTGAGCCTTTAAAAGGCTAGTCCAACCTCCAGCTTCATAGCAGGAACCAGCAGATCCAACAGTCACGTGTCCTTGGTCAAGTTCCCTTCTCCATAAACACATTGTTTGGTCTGAGACAATGTAACTCATGATTCCATATAGTAAAGCAAGGGTGTATTGGGTTTATCTGGGGAATGTCTGTTCTATTTTCTTGAACTATTTGTGAGTTCTTGCACCAGTTCCACAGTGTCTTAATGACCTTTGTAATAAGGTGTTTTTTGTTTTCTGTTTTTAGCTTTTTTTTAAAAATGGAGGTACTGAACTCAGGATCTCATGCAAGCTAAGCATGCGCTCTACCACTGAGTTACACTCTCCTCCCAGTAATAAGTGTTGGCATCTGGTAGGGAGATCTCTCTCTTTCCTTGGTCTTCTGCCTCACTTGCTATGCTTCGTCTTTTACATTTCAATATACATTATAAAGTCATCTCATCAATTCCATAAAAATTAGCTGGGCTTTTGAGTGGGGTTGCATTAACTCTCCAGACCATTTTGGAAGAACTGACATCTTCACAACACTGAGTTGTCTAGTCCACACGTATCACAGGTTCCTCTATTCCTTTGGCCTTTTCATTTCTCCCCATGTTTCATAGATTTCTCGGTAGAGGATTGACCCATCGTAACATTGAATTTATTCCTAGGTACTTGGTATTTTTGATGCTCTTAATTTTTTTTAAACTTCTGCCTGACTATAGATGTTCAATAGATTTTCACGTACTAATTTTGTATCCAGCAAAGATTTCCAACTTATTTGTAATCATTTATCTGTGAATTCTCTTGGATGACCTAAGTACATGATGCTATCTGTGAATAGAGACAGTCCAATTTCTTTCTTTCCAATCTTCAGGATTTACTGTTCTCACTTCTCTGCACTGACTGGGGTCTCTACCATGATGTTATGTCGTGATAGGAGGCATCTGTATCTATCTCTGAATCTGAAAGGCAACACAGTTGACATTTTACTATCAAATACAATGCTTTCTATAGTTCTTGCTTTTAAATATTTCTTGTAAATATTTAAGGATATTGATTGCAGCCTTGAGAGAAACCCTGAGCCAGAGGACCCAGCTCCGCCAGCCTGGTATACACAAACTGAGAGAAAATGTTTGTTGCTTTAAGCTGCTAAATGCTGGGGGGCAATTTGTTACACAGCAGCAGATAACTAATGCAGAAGGGATATGGAATCCTCCCTGCAAAGTCCAACCTAAGGTGATGGCGGCATCATGTGGCAGGAAAAGCA